CTGTGTCGTTGCGCCACAGGATTGTGCTGTACTATTCAGATTGTAGTGTTAAAGCCTATACGGTGTCTTGTTCTCCTGTGAAGCGGGATTGAGCTATACTGTTTGGATTGCTACGTAAGTATGGATGGTGTCTGGTTTTCCCGAAACCCAATGTAATATTACCCTGACCCACAAGGGTCTATTATATATATGATTAATTAACTTGTCACAAACGTTATACTATTATTAAATCAGAAGGATAGATACAACATGTAATGCTAGAAAAAATGAGTTTTCAAGTGCTCATACTCTTATTATTACAAGTTAATCGTTCGAAAATATCTGAAAAATCGGAACTCAGTAGAGAAAGGCAAGTACGTACTGTTGTTTAAAAGGTTTTTTTTAACTTATACTTTTGTCAAAGGAAAAAACATAGACCAGTGTGTATCTACAACTGATTGAGCACTGACTAGCGACCAACATCCTATTCGTTAAGACCTTCAATGTTGATCAAAATGTTCCGTTCAAGCTGTTATGTGACCATTTTATTTTTTATTTTATTTTAACACAAGTATAGGTACAGGGAGGCACCAAGTACATATGCGCCACACAGATCTCAATTGATATGTGTGAGGGCTGTGATACTGCCCGGGTGCCCAAACCGAAGCAGGTGGTTTTCTTAGGGGGCCACACCCCGAGCCTTTGACCTGAAGATCTGATCCACAAGGCAGTGGGGCATCGTAAGGAGATGCAGTCCCCTGGTAGCCGGTGACCAACGATTGGTTCATACGCCATTTGTTCCCGCAGGATACTGGAGCCCATGTGCACCATGTAACCATTAGTCTTTGTAAATCGAAATCTTATACATGATGTTGAGATGCTTAGTGTCTGGACGTAGTCAGTAGGAGATCCTGAACCTAAAATTCAATCGGCAGTGAAAGACCAGTAGTAAATTCTCAGACTTAGGTTTGAATCCCACAGAGAATATCATTTACTAACAATTTCGAACTAGCATAAAACATAGGTCAAGTAGGTTTTTTGTTGTTTACTTCTGTTGGGGACGTTAGATCCCCAGAACTCACTTCGAAAAGAACCTAATTTTGTAATTTTATTTCGAAAATTTGAAATTCCTTGTTTTCGCGCCAAAAGCGCTCTTGTCACCTTCATGTCGTATTTCCCACTTGAGAAATATCTTAAATGCTATTGGTACGTTGCGTATTTTAATATGCTATTTGGTAACTCTCTCCAAGGACGGTTTTGTGCTGTATATATACGTTTTGATTTATGTTTGTTGTTATCGTTCGTTTCTGACAGTTTGCAGAATATACTTCCCCATTCCAAGCTTGAACTTCTTCCTCTAGTTAGTTGGGCTGGGACGCATCAAATAGCTAGCCTATTAGTTTTTGGTCATTGAGTCTTTGTTCTATTCGTAGTCTAAGTGAACTCGTAACCGCTTTAAACCTAGCAACATCTAAGCACCTAATAGTATCAAACAACAATGATTTTATAACAATTACTAACTGACAATAGAATTACAAGTTTTAAATTTATTTTGTTACTACTGTGATTCAAGTAATTAAACCATATCTCCATGGATTCTATAAATGTGACATACTATACTACTTAATATAAAAAAACTATTCTGAAATATTATGCAATTGGTCCACTTTATGAATTTGAAAAAAGCTGCCCCCAAATGCCTTGGTATGGCCGAGAGTGGGGGGAGTCCGCTCCTCCTCTCGAAATGCTCTCACATGGCCACGCGTATACAGCCACTGCCAGAGAAGTCCTACTCACTGCCTTCTTGTGGCATGACTGTTGTTTACGAAAATGAGAGGACGAAAAGCGAATTTCCGGCGCTATAACCGGATCCCAAACCAATGGTGCACATGGGCTGGCTCCAGTATCCTGAAGGAACAAATGGCGTATGAACTAATCGTTGGTCACCGGCTACCATGGGACTGCATCTCCTCACGATGCTCCACTGCCTTGTGGATCAGATCTTCAGGTTGAAGGCTCGGGGTGTGGTCCCCTAAGAAAACCACCTGCTTCGGTTTGGGCACCCGAGCAGTATCACATCCCTCACACATATCAAATGAGATCTGTGTGGCGCATATGTATTTGGTGCCTTATTGTACCGATATCTATGTGTTAAAATAAATAAATTTGAATAAAGCTAAAAAATAAAACTATTAAATCGGAATAAGATGAATTCATTATATCTCGCTGTTTACAGCCATTGATAGAATTGAAATGTAACATTAAGGTACAACAGAATGTGAAACAATTGACATTGACGACGGAAAGAATTAAAATGACAAAGATTATCAATAATAACTATATGTAGATATATATGCTTAAGTTCAAGAGGTATGAGGTTATTTAGAAATGGAAATCAAATAGTCGAAAGAATTTAATCGATAATCCTACGTACAATGAATGTAAACCGAAAGGGTCACAATTACCTTACTTGTACGGCTTTATTTATTTATTATTTATTTTAACACATAGATATTGGTACAAGGAGGCACCAAAAACATATGCGCCACACAGATCTCATTTGATATGTGTGAGGGCTGTGATACTGCCCGGGCGCCCAAACCAAAGCAGGCTTACCTAAAAAAAACAAACCACATATCTCGATAAGGCCAACACTATCAATTACTAAATCACCTTTCCACAAACTCAACTGTTGTTGAAGTGTTTGGAACCAGACAGCAAGAAACTAGCTCCCTATAGTTTCAAGAGTAGTTTCTAATTTGTAAAAAAGTTTGATAATTTAAAAGCTTCTGATAAATTCATACTATCGTTTCACGTATCATATCTTGTCATAAACATCTCTTTTGAAAAAAACCGAGCGATATTATATGTGACTGTACTGAACACATTCAATTGCCACTCAAAGAATTTAAACAGCTTTGAGTACCAAAAATATGTAATTTCAATTCAACAATCTTAGGCCGCCAAATTGATGGAGTAGCCATGATTGGTCCTCTAGAGTTATTTAGGGCTGACATATTTATGGAGACCTTGGAACAAACGGAGCTTAGGCACCCGACGGAAGGAACTGAACTCTATTGTAGACATGTAGATGGCACATTTTTTTGTCTATAATAATCATAAGCATATACCTAATCAATTAATTTACCAAAGCACATAATGACATAGATTTTACTATAAAACGTGAAATAGAAGATAAATTCCATTTCTCAGATAATAGAATCAAACGGACATTAAATAGTACACTACAAAGATACATGGAGTGGAGATGGTCCAAATTACAAAAGTTTCTGTCCAAATCTTTTGAAATTTGCCAAAGCGACAGCAAACAAACGTCTAAAACCAGATCTATGTATACAAAAATAGACAATAATAAATCTTTCCTTGCCCTGATAACATTAACCCCCCTATTTTCAGTTACTTCATTACATAATCATCTAATGTTTGTCAACGCCATGAGTTCTAATTTTATGACCTCATTAACTCTATCGGAATCTTCACTACATCATGATACATAATATTTACCCTCTTATGTACAAGTATGTCAAAATCTGTGACCAGTCAGTCAGTTAGGCATATTTATGAACCGGTGCAAGTTGCCACATCTCATTAGCACAACAAGATGAACACCGGATTCATAGAAGCAGTTATTTCAATGGTGGTAATATATAAAAGAAAGATTGCATATAAAAGTATAGTACAGGAAGAAAGAAATAGTTCGTAGAAAGAAAGATATGAAGTGATTTTAATCTCATAGTTTAAAGGAAAACAGAGTGTGTATACACCTACACCATTCTGATCGAATCTGAACCATGTCACCAAGAGTCTCCAACCATTGGTTACGATAGTCACGCGGATACCAACCAAGTAGTCTGCATCTATCAACATGGCTAAAATTAGAAGTTAGTGACTTCAAGGACTGATGACACGTTTTGGTTTGGCCACCCCTAACTTTCATCCAACCATACCCAACATTAATCAACATTGCGCGTCGTGGTAATCGGTGTTCAGGCAAACGTAACACGTGACCCAACCATCCCAGTCGATGAAGTTTCACAACATCATCAACTGTTTTACAATCATTCCCTAATACCCTGCCTCTAACCTCACTACCACTTACACGAAGTATATTTCTAAGACATCTGTGATAAATACTTGTAGCTTACGAGTATCTTCTACTCTTAATGGTCACGTTTCACAGCCATAAATTAGAACAGAACGAACTGCCAGTCAGTATACTCGTCCCACAATTAATAGACGGATATCTCGCATTCGCCATAGATGACATAAGTTGGCAAAAGCCAAACGAGATTTTCGAATATTTTAGATTATAAGCATCTGATGAGAATTTAACGATTCCTTTTATTATTCTGTACCAATCTTCGTTCTTTTTCTCTTTAAGAAGAATAAACATGATCCTAAAATAGTACTACTGATAAAACTATAATAGTAGTACTACTACATATAGCAGTTTGTCTTTGAATCACGTTAAAAATAAGCAAAATATAAAAGAATACATAGTAAGAAAACATTATAAATATATGCACACAGATAGTTGTCACAGATGGTAATATACAAAATTGACTAACATGCTACAATGAAGCGTATGTAATATATGGATGAATACATGTGCAGTGTCATACAAACATGTATGCCACTTGTAAGTACATTTATATATATACAAGTGATGCGTGCATACTACATATATAAAAAACAAAAAAAAAGGAAACCCACGTAACGACAAGCAACGAACTATAATTGGATGTAATATTTGATAACTTTCAATAAAAACGTAATTAAGTATAAGCAATAATCGTACACTTTAAAAGTTAATTGAGTAATAAATGCGTATCTTTAAGCGAAATTTCTTCATTTAGAAAAGGTAATCCCATCAACATATAAACATCATTAAGCAGAATTCATTATGCATACAAACTCAGTGTAGATAGACTATTCATACATACATACAATAAATAAAGACATACATACAGATATGACCGCGTGCGTGCGCGAGCACTTACATTCTGAGATCGAACAAGTGTACGATCCTAAAAATTTAGAGATATTATTCGAATACATATTCATCATCTAACAGAATATACCTCATCTTGAAACATTGTAAAATCATCATCTACTATAATGTTTTTGGAACATAATTATCTATCATAGATGTATGGATAGATGAGGTTGTGTGTTAAGATAGAATATGTACTACTACTAGTAGTATTAAAAGACGGTAGAAATAAACAATTGATTACCAGTTTGATGAATAACTCAATGATAAATATTATGTTATATGGTACAATTACTATAACTGGATAAATACAGTGGTCTTGAGTGCTTTTAGAGGTATGAGGGCGGTTATCACTAGATATATGAAACAGAGTAAGGGTAAATAAATTAAATTAATCAATAATTTTCTATACCTAACATAAGAAAAACGCCCCCCCCCTTTATTTAGTTTGTGTATAAACTACTTTCGTTTAATTGAAAATGTAATATAGCAATGGTACAATAGTGTTAGTAAGCGTCAATATAGTTATCATAATACAGATTAATTGTTAAGTCACTTTTAGTATAAGTTTATCATGTGAGGATTGTCTCAATATTGCCATTAAATCACAGGCATTTTAAGCAGAGTTGGATGATAGCTAACAGTGAAATCAATTGCGATCAATTACAATCATAAATATCAATGAGAAGATTTAAACAACCAATGCATATGAATTCATTTGGTATTGTTCACTTGAATCTGCACATTGTTGTTTAGGACTGCAATTGAACAGTTTCTTATTGATATGTGTGCATATTGTGTGTATTGCCTCGATATTGCCTTAACTCACGAGCATTATAAGCAAAGATGGATAGTGACTATGGAATCCAGGAAGCGGGTCTCGTCCTATTTGAGACTTTTCAGCTGGATGTAACTACATCTCAGAGTTGATGTTCACTTTGGGACTTGAACCCAGTACTGTTAGCTACAAACGCCATCGCGTTATCTACTTAGCTACTGAATTCTGATAATCACTTGCTTGTGAAATCAATATGAATCAAAATTCATTCTATCGCAAAAGCAAAGGGCTTAGTAGTTCAGTAGATAACGCAATAGCGTTTAAAGTGAACAGTACCAGGTTCGCGTTCCAAAACGGACATCAACTCAAAGATGAAGATAAATTCAGTTGACGGAATGCGCGTCCTGGATTTCATTGAAAAATGCCCCCTATTTAGTTTGTGTATAAACTACTTTCGTTTAATTGAAAATGTAATATAGCAATGGTACAATAGTGTTAGTAAGCGTCAATATAGTTATCATAATACAGATTAATTGTTAAGTCACTTTTAGTATAAGTTTATCATGTGAGGATTGTCTTAATATTGCCATTAAATCACAGGCATTTTAAGCAGAGTTGGATGATAGCTAACAGTGAAATCAATTGCAATCAATTACAATCATAAATATCAATGAGAAGATTTAAACAACCAATGCAAATGAATTCACTTGGTATTGTTCACTATAATATCCATAAAACCCCTTCTGATACTATTCAACATATGCTCACTAGTGACTGGCTTTAAGAGCTATTTCCTGGAGTTCTAGTGAAAAGCAATGACCAGTGGAGTTTAACCGGGTATTTTGTGAGATAGTAACTCACTGAAGATAATGGTGGATGTGTCGATCAATGTTGTGGGTTATTAAAAGTTAGATATTAACACCATTGTATGCCGGCCAACTCAGTGATCTAGTGATCAAGCTCCTGGGTTCGAATCTCGCAAGGCGAGATCGTGAATACGCACATTAGGACGAAACGATCACCCACTGCTTTCAGATTTTGCATCGTGATCTAGCTTCAATTGACTCATGATTTCAACTATTAAAATGAATAAATAGAAGTTTGAAAATCATATGAAATAACAAAATAATTAAATCAATTCAATTCAATTTACTTTATATTCTTCATTAGGACTTTGTACAGGTAATTTATTCATTACCATAGGATAATCTGGTCGTCCAACTAATAAAGCAGAATATTCTTCTTGGATTTGTCCTTGTTTTATATGTGATTTTTGTTGATTCGTTGAATTATTTCCATGAACAGATAAACGATTATTATTAATATTAGTAGTAGTAGTAGTAGTAGCAGTAGTAGTATTAATATTAGGATTACGATTAGTTTCTAATAACTTCAATGTTAATAGTCTAGTTAAATGTGGTTGATTAACAAATTCATGCTGAAAAGATTTTTTTAAAAAAAAACGAAATGAATTAGATATGAATTCAATTATCAGTACTATTTTGCTGGGATTATTAATACTAATACTAACTGTATGATCTGAAACTATGATAAGAATCAATGACAAGGATCTTTTTAACTTCCGCCCCCAAATGCCCTGGTACGGCCGAGAGTGGGGAGAGTCCACTCTCCCTCTCGAAATGCTCTCACATGGCCATGCGTATATAGCCTCTGCCAGAGAAGTCCTACTCACTGCATACTCGTGACATGACTGTTGTTTACGAAAATGAGAGGACGAAAAGCGAATGTCCGGCGCTTTAACCGGATCCCAAACCAATGGTGCACATGGGCTCCAGTATCCTGCCTGAAGGAACAAATGGCATATGAACCAATCGTTGGTCACCGGCTACCATGGAACTGCATCTCCTCACGATGCTCCACTGCCTCGAGGTGTGGCCCCCTAAGAAAACCACCTGCTTCGGTTTGGGCACCCGGGCAGTATCACAGCCCACACACAAATCAATTGAGATTCGTGTGGCGCATATGTATTTGGTGCCTCCTTGTACCAATACCTATGTGTTAAAATAAATAAATAAAATTTGATATTAGGAAACATTTAGGCTCGAAAAAGCTCTGATACAGTCGAGTTTGGAGAGAGTTCATTCTCTCTTTCGAAATACTCTCATATAGCCACGTACATACAGACACTTCCAGGGAAGTACTACTCACTGCATTCTCGTGGCATTGCTGGTGTTTACGAAATTGAGAGGAAAAAAAGCGAATATCCGGCACTTCAACGGGATTGGTGGATATGGAGAGTCCAACTATAAGGAGTTGGAAAACTCTCATTTCAAACCAATGGTTCACATGGGCTCAAGAATCCTGAAGGAACAAATGGCGTATGAACTAATCATTGGTCACCGGCTAACATGAGACTGACATTGCTACACTGTCTTATGGATTAGACTTCTACGTCAAAAGTTTGGGATGTGACCGCCTAATAAAACCGCCTCCTTCAGTCTGGGCAACGGAGCAGTATCCCAGGACACACAATAATCAAGTGATTGTGTGGTGCATATGTATTCGATGCTCTTTTTTTACGAATATTTATGTAATCAAATAAATAATGAAATCACTGTATGAATGACTGCTACTATTGGATTCGATTAAACGATCAGTTCATACGAAAATAGCTTTTAAAATTACAGTATATGTGATTATTATCATTATTAATAGTAAGTAAGTTATATGTTTCTAATCAAAATTAATATACAAGGCAAGGAAAAGCGAATCAAAGTGAGTTAATACATATTTCTTTTTATTGAAAGAGGGTTTGGTGAAGATTTTAGTAATTTTATAGTTCAATTCATGAACCAATTAAACCTAGATCATCATATAAAACCTATAAGTACTGAAAAACCATCGCGTCCTAGCATAGGACTCCTTAGCAATGCACATCCACGATCCCGCTTCACGAAACTCGAACCTAGGACCTATCAGTGTCGCGCGCGAGCGCTTAACCACTAGACTATCCACCACTGTCTTCAGTGAGTTACTATCTCACAACAGATCAGGTTGAAGTCCACTGGTCACTCAAGAAAATACCATATGGAATCCCTTAGCAATACCGTTTAAGTGACTCGCAAATTCAACACTAAAATATAACTTTTTACTTAACATCAATTATTTCTCTTTTGTTTATATTCTACGAAGGAAGAACTAACGAAAAACTGCATTTCATTTAGATGTGTATTGTCATCATACCATTATGTCAATGTACAAATAATGATCAAATGTATTTGACCAAGTAAGTAAATTGATAAATGAAAATGTAAAACATTCATGTGTAAAATTATAAACAGAAAAAAAAAAAAAAACGAGAGAAAAAAAACACAAAAATGGCATGTCATTTATATGTTCCCATCGAATTACGAAACAAAACAAAAAAAAATAAACGAATGACCTGAAAATGTACTTTGATTCAGCTTTAGTTTGTTGGGTTTTTTTTTCTGGCAAAGATATAATATTTCAAACTTATTGATTTATTGATTTAAACACATAAATTATTTGATTTGTGTGAGGGTTGGGATACTGCTCGGATACCCGAACGGAAGTATGTGGTTTTCTTAAGGAGTCACACCCGAAGCCTTTGACCTAAAGGTCTAATCCACAAGGAAGTAGAACAATGTCAAGAGATACAGTCCCATTTCATCCAGTGACCAACGATTGGTTGATAAGCCATTTGTTCCCTCAACATACTGGAACCCACATGTGCACCATTGGTTTAAAACCAGGGTTTCCCAACTCCCCTCGATGGATCCTCCATATCCACCAACCCGGTTAAAGCACCGAACATTCGCTTTTCGTCCTCTCAATTATATAAACAGCACCTCCGATTCGAGAAGGAAGTGAGTAGGATTTCCCTGGTAGTAGTTGTATGCATGTGGCCACTTCAGAGCATTTCGACAATGAGAGCTGACTCCCCCCACTCTCCGTCGTACCACGACATTTAGGGGATCAAAGTGTTATTTATCGTTCAAATTATAGACAATATGTGTTACAAAGTTAGCACTAAATAATAGAGTAATCTAACAATGAGGAGAAAACTGTTATATCCGAATGAGAATAAATAAATGGTCGTCATTAGGATTTACTAATGGACTAATATACTATGTATATTCTTATTGTATAACTATTAAGTAACTATATTATATTGATATATATATTCACTTTATTTGACCTATTGACTATTGTCGTACGATTTACTATTCTTAAGATGTTCCCAACTTATTAGTCAAGGTCTCTCACAATCACATCAACTTTTTGCCTTGATCTTGTATTATTGTTATTTTCTATTTTATGGTATGATGCGATCTGGTTTATTCACATATAAACCCAGTTTTTTTGATATACATGATTCATATAGCAGAGGTTGAGATTGTTACTCTGAACTTAACGGGCAGGGCTAGTCGAAAAAAGGACCTAATGGGAACGCTAGATTATTCGTACAAATGTATCCGTAATTGGTTGGTCGCATAAATCAGTGTATCTAAGATCTTCCATAAAGATAACTTTTTCATGACTTCAATCACAAATTCCTGATGAACATACAAACAAACTTAAAAATATACCTAAGCTCCTTTCTGTCTAATAGATTCCAAACACTTCAAGTTGGTAAATATAAAACATGTTTCATTTAGATATCATCTAATGAATTATGCTAATATTCGGAAGCTTAATAAGTCTATTTAAACTTTGAATGAAGTTTTGTTCTATGAGATGGATAGTTTGGACGTGGAGCTTTTATCGTTCTTCTGAACGACATCATCAGCACAAACTTCAGGGAGAAGTGAAGTGTTCGAAGTTCTCTACATGTGGTCTATCTACACTTCACAAAATACGATAGATAGAAGTAATCGGATTAAAGCCTACATAACTGGTCTAAGATGGTAACACTTTGGTTGGAACTTATAAATTTATAATGTACATATATACATATATATCAGTATTATCACCTACTCGTAATAAAGCTTGAGCTGTTGGTCTTTTCTTTTCACTTTTTGTCAATGATGCTTTAAGAAAATTATGAAATTTCTGAGACCTAAATAATAATAAAAAATTAGACAAACAACTCATTAGAACAATTATAAGAATAGGAAAGGATGTGATTATATAATTTAAAATAATCTTAATGATTTTTCACATATTAGGTTGTTGAATATACTGTCAGCAATAACCTACTGTGGAAGAGAACAAACCAGTTTCCAGCGAAGGAAGAAGCACTGGAAGTGGAGATGACACACATTGAGGAAAGCACTCAACTGCGTCACAAGGTAAGTCCTCATCTAGAATTCTAAAGGCCAAAGGAGAAGAAAAAGAGTAAAGAGCACATTACGCCAAGTAATGGAGACAGATATAAGAAGAATGAACAACAATTAGGTAGAACTAGAGAAGAAGGCCCAGGATAGAGTGGATTGGAGAATACTGGTTGGCGGCCTATGGTCCATTGGTAGTAACAGGTGTAACTCCAACTCCAGAAGTTTAATTGTTTCTTAAGAAAAATTAATTGATTATTTTAATTAATTCATTAATTATATTAGTCTAGACAAAGTAAATTACAATGAAATTAGATCAATCTTATTAATGAGACAACATTATTAAATTCTAGAACATATTCATACTACTAATATAAGTAGAATGATGATGTATATATTAGAGCTTCAGTTATCAGTAAACATTATAATGTACTTTTAATTGTAAATTATCAATTAGTTGTAATACAATAAAGAAGTAACATTTATGTACAGAGTTTAGAATTTTTGATGCTACCGATTTGTTAAAACGAAACTACATAGCATGGCAAACGGCTACTATCACTAATTTTCGCCTATGCAATGCGGTTCAAAGTCAATTACACTAAATGATCCGGACAGTCAAGCAGCATCAATACGCTTTAAACGAGAGACCGATAGGTCCTGGAATCGAATGTCGTGGAGCGGATCATTGATGCGTACTGCTGAGGAATCCCACAATAAGACGAAACGACCGTCCAATGCCTCCACGTTTTCCATGGCGGTCTAGCTTCATTTGACTTGTGATCTCAACTATTAAATTACAAATATATGTCCAAAGTGTGTGTCTCATAACGAAGTACGTGAATTTGCATTCGGTTAATAAACTGTTTTAAGTATAGCTAAGTTGATAGTGATCTCTGAAATTTTATATAGTGTTAACGGTATAAGCAGTATTAAAATAATTCTCCCTAAATCTGGGGAAAGGATAAAATTTGTTAAATTTATACTTAGTATTAGACAATGAATAATCGCAGTTGAGATCCTACCCGAAAAAAAACATGAAGCACAATCCTGCTGTCTGGACAGTGAACACACAGAAACTTCGGGTTATGCACCAGGGGCTCGACCAAGACACGTTCGCATTCAATCATACACATTTTTAATTTATCTGTGATATTATAGCGTAGCTGTCATCCAATGTCCTTGGTGATGACTTTTTAACTGCTGTTATATCTTGGAACCTCATTGGTCATGACACCTAACAAAAAGACTTTGAGATGACAAGTCAATTGGAGTTGAAAATAAATGACTCAATGGTCAAGGGCTCATAGTGAGGTCTAACAGACTTGGATTCGACTCGCGACAGATTCAAAAGTGCATACTGTCGAGTCATCCTACACAACGTCAGCATAGCTATTCTGTTTTCCTAATTTGCAATGGTAACCTAACTGATGTTAACTACTATAATCTCGTAATTGAATTTAAGTGAGTAAACTATATTATATGACAAATATTGCAATCCTTCAGTATAATTCTTCGAAACCTAACATATAACATTATATACAAAGATGAATATTGCCTAACAGTGGAATTCAGGACAAAGCGCGTTTCATCCTATTTAAAACTCGTCAGCTAAATGTACTTGCATCTCAAAGTTGAAGTTGATTTTGGAACTCAAACTCAGTACCGTTTTAATATTTTAATAATGTATCGATCAATACAGGAAAATTTACCGTATTGACTAGATCCTGCCCTTCACCACCACCACCACCACCACCACCAGCACCACCACCACAAAACAGTTAATGATACACATACATACAAACATAACACTAGAAACAATTACTATTCGTAATAATTTTTATATCCGGTCAAATGAAATTTTATTTAATTAACACATTTTCAAAAGAGAAACTTAAATAAATGTAATCACATAATAAATTTATGCATTATGAATTTTCGAGAGAGAGGAGAGGGAGGGGGGAGAGAGAGAAACTACACACATAACAACTTACACCTGTTTCGATTAAAACACTTGACAACACCACTATAACCAACAAACATACACTTTCTCTGTGTCTCTCTCTTGTGACTAGTCAATATATATATATATATATATATATGCATATGATCTGTCGTAGAATAAATGGTTACGAAATAGGAATTACTCATACCATATTATAGGGTCTAAGAAATTTACATATTATAATATATGTATATACATGTATATAAATACTTAAGAACTAAAAGAATCAGACATAGTAGAATATAAGCAATGTAAATCTATAAATATATATATTGTAAAACTAATGTAAATGATTATAATAAGTAAATAGAACTGGAATATTGTTTGTTTTAATACATTGAAAACTATGATTCATATAACTACTATGAATGATATGAATGGGTTACTTTTTTTTTTCTATTTTAACAAATGTAATGTTGAAATTTCAGTTATAGGGTGAATATTTCACTTATCCAGTATTTCTAAGGTTTTTCATAGTAGTCTAGCTTCAATTGATTCATGATTTTCAACTAAAATCTCCATAAAACCCCTTTTGATAATAATCATCTGCACACTAGTGACTGATTTCAGGTGATATTTTCTGGAGTTCTAGTGAGAAACCGTTACCAGTAGAGTTCAACCAGGTCTGTTGTGAGATATCAGCTCACTGAAGACAATGGCGTACGATGTTAGCATTTCGTGAATTGATTCAAGTTAGACCTTAACACCATTAAATGCCGACCGGCTCAGTGGTCTAATGGTTAAGCGCTAGTGCGCGAGATTGATAGGTCCTAACTTCAAATCTCGCGAGGGGCGGAGTCGTGGACGCGCACCGCTGAGGATACCCAAACTGGGACGAAACGGCGATCCAGTTCTACCAGGTTTCCCATGGTGGTCTAGCATCAATTGAATCATTATTTCAACTAATGCAATCACTAAAATCTCCAAAAAAGCCCTTTTGACTTATTTATTTATTTAAACACATAAACATTGGTACAAAGGGGGCACCGAATACATATATGCCCCACACAATTCATTGTGTGGGAGCTGGGATGTTGCTTGGGTGCCCGAACCGAAGCAGATGGTTTTCTTAGGAAGCCACTCCGCGAGTCTTTGACCTGAAGATCTAATCCACAAGGAAGTGGAGCAACGTCAGATGCAGTGTCATGGTAGACGGTGACCAACAATAGGTTTATACTCTATTTGTTCCCTCAGCATACTGTAGCCCATGTGCACCATTGGCTTGGAATGAGGGTTCTCCAACTCCTCTAGGTAAATCCTCCATATCCACCAACCTGTTTCAACCACAGGACTTTCACGTTTCATCCTCTAACTTTCATAAACAACAGGAATGCCTCGAGAAGACAGTATGTCGGGCTTCTCTTGTAGTGGCTGTATACGTGTGGCTATATGAGAGCATTCGGAGGAGAGCTGACTCTCCCCACCGTCAAACATACCAGGGCATTTGATGGGTGAGTGAATACTGTTTGCAGTCCAAAATTAAACAGAAAGTGGAACGAATTAAGATTGTGCTGAATCACTAATGGATCTTAAAATTATTGACCTAAATTTATCACTCATGTTGTGAAATGTTAAATTACTTAGTTTAATTTCATGTTACGTAATGGATTTGTACTCACAATGAAAGCTACAAAGCATAATATCATTTTTACATGTTAGAAAGATATGATAATGTTTCTTAGTCTATAATTACCCTAGTACAGTCAATTATTTATTACCTTTTAAGAATGTGAGAGAAAAGCGAACAGTCTATGTTTTAGCTCTGTTGGTGGATACAAAAAGTCAGCCCAGGGGAGTTGGGAAAGCCTAACTTCAAATCAGTGGTGCATATGGGCTCTAGGATACTGTGAGGATGAATGGTGTATGAACTGGTCACCATGGAAATGGTTCTCATGACATATTTTCTAACAAGCGTCTTTAAATATACAAAAACATATGGAACAATGACTTAGTGTTTAGGTATTTGATTACCCGATATAAGAAACTTAAACTACTTTAACTAATCAAGTGTGGAAAACTAGATAGTATATTAAATGAATCAGTAATATGTAAGGTTTGTGTACATGATTTAACACATAGCTTCTTGTTTGAAAACATGGAAATTAGATCAAAAGATATGTGACAATCATTCTTAATTATCCACTTTCCGAATTCATAGAATTGTACTCAGTCAGTCAGTCAGTCAGCTACAACGTAGGACTAGGCATATATATGCATCGGTCCAAGTTGCGATACCGCATTAGCATAGCAAGATGAACGCTGGATTCATAGACGTAGTTACTTCAATGGTGGTAATACATAGTAAGAAAGATTGCATATAAAAGTATAGTACAGGAAGAAAGAAATAGTTCGTAGAAAGAAAGATATGAAGTGATTTTAATCTCATAGTTTAAGGGGAAACAGAGTGTGTATACATCTACGCCATTCTGAACTATATCACAAACAGTCTACAACCATTGGTTATGATAGTCACATGGACACCAACCAACTAGTCTGCATCTACCAACATAGCTCAGACTAGAAGTTAGTGTCTTCAAGCACTGATGCCACGTTTATGTTTGGCCTCCCCCCTAACTGTACTAGGGTAAATGATTATGTGATTTGCTAAACAACTTGGGAAAGAAATATAGAAAATGTGTGTAACATTAATTGACTTAGTTAGTCAAATAATCATTGATCATATTAATGCAACACATAAAACCACAATGTTACTGAATGATAGTGGAGAAGTAAACATTCAAAAATGAAGAATCGGAATTAGAATAGGAATCGGTTCATGTG